GGGTCAGAACACGCAGAGCACCTCTTCTCCTTTGGGTCGCGGGACACATTTACTGATGCCGCTCCAAAATTAGAATATCATCACGGAACCACCATTAAATTAGCTGCTTCTGACATTTTAAATGCTATTGCAGTTGTACTATCAGCATAAATGTGCGCATCAGATCCGCAGCATGTTTTCTTGTTTTCTTCTGGATTTGTGCCTCAGTCCCGCCCCTGTCCTTTTTTGTCCAATGGGAGCAATGATCGTCACACTCGTGGCTTTGTTTACAAGTTATAGTTCATTTGCAAAAAAGCATAATGTGAATGCAAACCGCACCAAACGGAAAAAAAAAGTCCATTTTTGGTCCGGACCAAACAATTGGACCGAAGGACTTTCCTGGTCTGAATACACCCAAAGAGATAGATGTAGACTAAATTAAACAAGTAAACAAGAAGATTCAACTTTATATTTTTTTACCCTCCAACCCCCACAAACTACCCTGAATTCTTTTATACATGCTTTTTTAATTAATTTTTTTATTTTTCTGTATTTTCCAGCCTGCGACTGCAGCTTAGAAGGCTCTGTGACGCGGCTTTGCGACAAGTTTACGGGCCTGTGCCAGTGCCGTCCCGGAGCATTCGGTCAGCGATGTGACGGGTGTCAGGCGGGTCACTGGGGCTTCCCCAGCTGCCGACCCTGCCAGTGTAACGGACACGCAGATCACTGCGACCAGAGGAGCGGAGTCTGCATCAACTGCAGGGACAACACCGGAGGAGACAAGTGTGACAGGTGATGTCCAAGTTTACTTAAATATACTGTATATATTTTTATAGGGACAGTACAACAACACATTATCACCCATAGGCAACAGATGCAGCACTCATTTACAGCCCTCGTTCCTGGTTGGGATTTTTGATCTGAACAAAATAAAAGTTATTGATACAAATAAATGAGTGCAGTGCAATTACAATTTCTACAAAAAAAATGTATTAAAATATAAATTAAATCTTTGTTCTGTCATCTAAGAACAAGCAGATACGATATTACATGGGCTTTGGAGAGACAACATCTGTATATATA